CACACCATGTAACTGTTATATAGAATAGTGCAGCGGCACACTGCGGGTGTTCCACACCATGTAACTGTTATATAGAATAGTGCAGCAGCACACTGCAGGTGTTCCTCACCATGTAACTGTTATATAGAATAGTGCAGCGGTACACTGCGGGTGTTCCACACCATGTAACTGTTATATAGAATAGTGCAGCAGCACACTGCAGGTGTTCCTCACCATGTAACTGTTATATAGAATAGTGCAGAGGTACACTGCGGGTGTTCCACACCATGTAACTGTTATATAGAATAGTGCAGCGGCACACTGCGGGTGTTCCACACCATGTAACTGTTATATAGAATAGTGCAGCAGCACACTGTGGGTGTTCCACACCATGTAACTGTTATATAGAATAGTGCAGCAGCACACTGCGGGTGTTCCACACCATGTAACTGTTATATAGAATAGTGCAGCAGCACACTGCGGGTGTTCCACACCATTTAACTTATATAGAATAGTGCAGCGGCACACTGCGGGTGTTCCCTCCATGTAACTGTTATATAGAATAGTGCAGCAGCACACTGCAGGTGTTCCCTCCATGTAACTGTTATATAGAATAGTGCAGCAGCACACTGCAGGTGTTCCCTCCATGTAACTGTTATATAGAATAGTGCAGCAGCACACTGCAGGTGTTCCCTCCATGTAACTGTTATATAGAATAGTGCAGCAGCACACTGCGGGTGTTCCCTCCATGTAACTGTTATATAGAATAGTGCAGCAGCACACTGCAGGTGTTCCTCCATGTAACTGTTATATAGAATAGTGCAGCAGCACACTGCAGGTGTTCCCTCCATGTAACTGTTATATAGAATAGTGCAGCAGCACACTGCGGGTGTTCCCTCCATGTAACTGTTATATAGAATAGTGCAGCGCACACTGCTGGTGTTCCCTCCATGTAACTGTTATATAGAATAGTGCAGCAGCACACTGCGGGTGTTCCACACCATTTAACTTATATAGAATAGTGCAGCGGCACACTGCGGGTGTTCCCTCCATGTAACTGTTATATAGAATAGTGCAGCAGCACACTGCGGGTGTTCCACACCATGTAACTGTTATATAGAATAGTGCAGCAGCACACTGCGGGTGTTCCACACCATGTAACTGTTATATAGAATAGTGCAGCGGTACACTGCGGGTGTTCCACACCATGTAACTGTTATATAGAATAGTGCAGCAGCACACTGCGGGTGTTCCACACCATGTAACTGTTATATAGAATAGTGCAGCAGCCCCACTGCGGGTGTTCCACACCATGTAACTGTTATATAGAATAGTGCAGCAGCACACTGCAGGTGTTCCACACCATGTAACTGTTATATAGAATAGTGCAGCAGCACACTGCAGGTGTTCCACACCATGTAACTGTTATATAGAATAGTGCAGCGGCACACTGCGGGTGTTCCACACCATGTAACTGTTATATAGAATAGTGCAGCAGCACACTGCGGGTGTTCCACACCATGTAACTGTTATATAGAATAGTGCAGCAGCACACTGCAGGTGTTTCACACCATGTAACTGTTATATAGAATAGTGCAGCGGCACACTGCGGGTGTTCCACACCATGTAACTTATATAGAATAGTGCAGCAGCACACTGCGGGTGTTCCACACCATGTAACTGTTATATAGAATAGTGCAGCAGCACACTGCGGGTGTTTCCACACCATGTAACTGTTATATAGAATATGCAGCAGCACACTGCAGGTGTTCCACACCATGTAACTGTTATATAGAATAGTGCAGCGTACACTGCTGGTGTTCCACACCATGTAACTGTTATATAGAATAGTGCAGCGGCACACTGCAGGTGTTCCACACCATGTAACTGTTATATAGAATAGTGCAGCAGCACACTGCGGGTGTTCCACACCATGTAACTGTTATATAGAATAGTGCAGCAGCACACTGCAGGTGTTCCACACCATGTAACTGTTATATAGAATAGTGCAGCGGTACACTGCTGGTGTTCCACACCATGTAACTGTTATATAGAATAGTGCAGCGGCACACTGCAGGTGTTCCACACCATGTAACTGTTATATAGAATAGTGCAGCGGCACACTGCAGGTGTTCCACACCATGTAACTGTTATATAGAATAGTGCAGCGGCACACTGCGGGTGTTCCACACCATGTAACTGTTATATAGAATAGTGCAGCAGCACACTGCAGGTGTTCCACACCATGTAACTGTTATATAGAATAGTGCAGCGCACACTGCAGGTGTTCCACACCATGTAACTGTTATATAGAATAGTGCAGCGGCACACTGCAGGTGTTCCACACCATGTAACTGTTATATAGAATAGTGCAGCAGCACACTGCAGGTGTTCCACACCATGTAACTGTTATATAGAATAGTGCAGCGGCACACTGCAGGTGTTCCACACCATGTAACTTATATAGAATAGTGCAGCGGCACACTGCAGGTGTTCCACACCATGTAACTGTTATATAGAATAGTGCAGCGGCACACTGCAGGTGTTCCACACCATGTAACTGTTATATAGAATAGTGCAGCGGCACACTGCAGGTGTTCCCAATATGTAAATGTTATTTAGAATAGAATACTGCTGTACAATAACATCTCCATTCAAGGCAGGTGTAATTGCAGAACTAGAGAATGTACAGAGAACCTTTACTGCACGTATAAGTTCCATCAAGCACCTTAACTACTGGGAGCTCCTGGAAACACTTGACTTGTACTCACTGGAGCGCAGGCTAGAAAGATATATTATAATCTACACCTGGAAGATTCTGGAGGGACTGGTCCCTAATATGCACACAGCAATCACTCCATACGAAAGCAAAGACTTGGCAGGCGATGCAACATACCCCCAGTGAAAAGTAGGGGCGTCACTGGTACACTAAGGGAAAATGCAATAAATGTCCGGGGCCCAAGACTATTCAACAGCCTTCCACCAGCAATAAGGGGCATTACCGGTAGACCCCTGGTCGTCTTCAAGAGTAAGCTGGACAGATACCTAAAGACGGTGCCAAATCAGCCGGGCTGTGGTTCGTACATTGGATTGCGTGCGGCCAGCAGTAACAGCCTCGTTGATCAGGCCCTGATCCACTGGGAGGCCTGGTCATGGACCGGGCCACGGGGGCGTTGATCCCCGGAATGCCCTCTAGGTACACTCCAGGTAGGTAGTACAGAATAGTGCAACAGCACAGAATAGTGTAACTTATCATTTAGAATAGTGTAAGAGCGCAATTCAGGTTTCCTCTCTATTTAACTGTCATATAGAATAGTGTAGCCACATGCTACTGGCGCTTCTACAAGGTACCTGTCATACAGAATAGAGTAACAACACCGTGTGGGAGTTCCTGATATGTAACTATCGTGTAAAGTGTAGCAGCGCACTGCGAGGCCTGACGATGTGATTCTCACTGGGATGTACACTGTTGTGCGTTACACTCACTCTTGTACACTTTCTCTCTCATTGGTGATTGTAATTTTTAGTTTCTGGGTCTGCTTGTTGTTTCTGGGTGCTCGTGGCTTGGGTGGTAGCGTCCTCAGCTCGCACATTGAGGGGTCCGGGATTGATCTCCGGCATGAGTGAAACGTTAGGCATGTTTCCTTACAACCTGCTGCCCTTGTTAGCCTAACAGTACTGTGAGTAGGTAACTAGGTGTAATGCGATTGTTGCGGGTCGCATCCTGGGGGACAGGATGTGACCAGGTTAGCACCAGACGAGCCTGGCCCATGGCTGGGCTCCGGGAGTGGAAAGATTCTCGAAATTCATCAAAGGTATATCAAAGATAATATAATAATAATAATAATAATAATTATTATTATTATTATTAGTAGTAGTAGTAGTAGTAGTAGTAGCAGTAGTAGTAGTATTAGCAGCAGCAGTAGTAGTAGTAGTAGTAGTAGTAGTAGTAGTAGTAGTATTAGCAGCAGCAGCAGTAGTAGTAGTAGTAGTAGTAGTAGTAGTAGTAGTAGTAGTAGTAGTAGTAGGATATTGTGGGAACTGAGCTCCAGTAGTCACTAATTTACACAGTCATAAACCTCGCTCTCTCTGTCCTCTGCTATTCATATTCTTTTATTTAGTTTTCTATCATCTGCACAAACATAGAAAACTCGGTTCCCTCTGGCAGATTATTTACATATATCGGGAAGAGTAGAGGCCACAGTATTGTCTCTTGAGGGACTCCAGAGCTCCTCCCTCAGTGTCTCTCTTCAGTTTATCAGGTATCTGACGGAGCACTTTCCCTTTCACCCTTGCTTGCTCTTCCCAGCTTGTGTATTATTCTTTGATTGGAAACAATGCATGTTTCTTGCTGATTAGAAAATATTACACCCTTGTTTCTCTCTCTCTCTTTTATCTTTATTACAAGATCCCTTATTCCTTCATCCATGTTTTTTTTCTGACGACGTTTCTCTCCAGGTGCGTGTGAAACGAACTTGGAATAAATAAGTGTAAGCGGTATTAGAGTGTAAAAACTTTCGCTTGAGTAATGTTCAGAAAGTAGTAAGTCGAGTCAGCGGTCAGGAGGACCTAATCAGACTTCAAGATTTTAGGTTCAAAACAAAATAGTTAACCAGTTTCTGCGGAACTTGATGCATGGGATAATTCTTGGCCAAGAAATAATTTATTTAATCTCAGTGAAGGTCAGGATAAGTTGGTATGTCTTATGCATTCACAACAAATTAATTGTAATTTCCAAGACGTACACCCGTCCCTTACTCATCCCTCCCGCTAGGCAAACTTTCAATAATATTTATTTTATTTACACACATGTTGTGTTTACTTTTGGCAGGCGAATTCAAATACTTTTGTATTAGGTAACTTTCTCTTAATACTTTACAGCTAACCCACAAAGTGGAAATGAAATGTTCTCATTTCCACTTAGTAGAATAGTGAGTGTTTGTTCTAGCTATGACATTGTGACTTTCTTCTTCTTGTGTATTATACATCACATGGTACTTATGGATGGTTTCATTTTTCAGGGCAGAGGTGGGCCGGGCGCAGTAGTTCGTCTGCCGCCGACGTGGCCCCCTTGGCTCTACAAGTGACCCTCATACCCCCGACGCCCCCTCTCAAGAAATCCCTCCCACCTCCAACGCTCCCCGCGTGCACCTCGTTTCCTAATGCCCTCTCACTCATTTCCGCAGGCACCTCGAGTCTTGTTCAACATACCTCTTCTCCCTCCCTCTCCCAGAGCTACCCATCCTTCTTAGATCTCCTCCTCCCTCATCCCAAGGCTAACCCAGCATACTTCACGAGTCTAGCCAGAGTGCTGCATATGGAGGACCATCTGCAGATTCCTGGGGTGTTACCTGTCATACTCTTGGAGATCCACCTGAAACACATCTTGCGTGGAGCCAGCCAAGCCACCTGCCACCTGCTATGCCCCTCAGTTTAACGTACGTCTGAAGTCCAAACTGGCAAACTCCTGGAATGCCATTTATAGTACTCTTACAGTGCCACTTTCAGTACTGGAGTGCTACTTTCAGTACTCGAGTGCCACTTTCAGTACTCAAGTGACATTTTCAGTACTCCTGAAGCACTACCATCTGGAGTAGTAGCTACCACTTCCAACGCTTCATCCACTACAGACCTACAGCAGCTCATCTTATAACTGAGTGATCTAGTGAAGACGTAACACGGTAGTGCATCTCCTGCGTAACCCACATACTATGAGACAGACTGACATAGTTATAGTCCTGTGAATGTGGTGCCGCACAATGGGCTGCTCAAGCCCTCATAAATTATAATAACTGAATTGTTGGCATTGATGGCTTGGAGCAATTTGGCTACGACCAAAGGTAAACCAGTGACTATGGTATTGTGATTATTGTGTAATACCTACGTGTAATAGATCAGAAACTGCCAAGATCTTCCTGTACAGAGTATAAAAATAGGAGAGACACTGAACATGTTGTCAGCAAGAAGCTGTGAGATTTCTTGGGCTGGGACTCCGGTCGGTGTCTCCCGCATGGACCCTCTTGTCGCCAGAGAGCTGCGGGTAATCCTCATCAGGCGACCTGTTGACTTGTACACAAGTTAGTTTTGTTGATAACTGTGAATGGTGTCGTACATAGGAAAGATATTCTTGTATGATGTATAAAGATCTCATTTCCATGCTGTTATAGACTCATTATTTAAATGTTCATGTTAATTTATCATTATAATTATGTATCAAATGATTTTTTTAATGTCCATTGAGTGCAAAAAATTGGATTTGAAAGTCAGTACCCAGCACATCAGCCCAGCAAATGCTTGTGACATTTTGTACCAATCCCTTGTACATCCACTGTAGTTCCTCGCCAGTCTAGTCTTACAGTCTTACTTAGTTAATCCCTGGCTTGTTCCGATGCACCACTCCCAGTTCCCCATTGGTGGGTAACCACCTCACGATGACTCTTACCTCAACACTTCTAACCTTTCATGAACCCGACAGAATAGATGAATAAAAGTCTCGGATGAACCAAGTTAGACTGTGCTGGGTAGCAAATGTCACAAATGTTTGAGCAATGCCTGTGGCACCAAAGTAGTGAAGGGTGACCGTAGTGATGCTGAACTCCTCCTCACCCTGGACACTGTACCTCTGCTGGTGCCACAAGTAGCCAAGCTATTAATTAAGGGCCTTCCGTTGAGTAATGTTTTAAGGCCGCTTGGTAAGTTGTTTTTTCCTATTGTGATGTAATGCAATATATTGGGAATGGGCATTTAGACAAAACATGATATTCTCTGTGATAATATAGTCGAGTTGCTTACACTGGGTTAGATTTCCGTTGTAGTATGAAGTGGTTGGAAATGTAGAATTGGTTTCTTGATATGAACTAAGGAAAAGCAGAGGACAGGCTTGTATCGCCATCAGGGCCTGCCAAGCAGTCAGTCAGTCATGCACGCCTCCCTGAAGCTAGTCGGTAAAACTGCGGAAATGTAATTATTGGAAGATGAAGCTCACATTATGATAGTTGACACATGAACCGGTGTCCCCAGATCCCTGCCAACCCCCCCTCCCCCCATCCTTCTGCTGTAAAGTGCTGTTGGCCAGTGAGTAGGGAGGACTGGTCGCTGCTGTATTGCACAGTAGAGATGTACTACTGCTGTAAATTGTGCAGCCGGATCAAACACTACAGTGCATTACAAATATGCTGTGGCTCAGCAAGCTGCAGAGAGATACTGCTACTAGCTTTCCCATTGGTCATGAATGTTTAAGCGCAATTATAATATGCTGGAATGTTTCTTCCTCTCTGGAACCCTCCTTTTTTTGGTTATGTGTGTGTTTTGGAGATATTCCAATATCGTGTATCACAACATAACTTATGGATTCAGGTTTGCCTCACGACATATCTTGGCGAGGGGCGTCAGAAGCTTGATATGTATATTCTGCTGGAGTCGTTGCTCTCGACACCCTTGCCTTCACCTTACCAGTGAACGAGGACCTGGTCATAGCTCGCCTCTTAAGGACCCAAGGACGCATTCATTACCACCATAACACAAGATCGGGGTAGAGGATTCGAGTCCCTGCAGGACTCGTGTGGGCTCGAGTTCTTAGACCGGCTTTCCTTCCTCAGTCAAGGGCTTGAGTCCCTCTAAGACCACTGTGAACTCAAGAGTTTCTAGACTTGGCTTCATATCCAGGTCAAGGGCTCGAGTCTCTGTAGTATTTCCTTGGACTCAGAGTTCCTAGACAGGGCTTCCTTCTCCGATCGAGGGCTAGAGATCCTGTAGGACTCGTCTGGACTTAAGGACATGCATTACATTCTACACACACTCAATTCAGTTGCTACTGGTCGTATCAACAGCCTGCAGATGCATGAGTGATGGTATCACCACAAAATGGCAAACACTGATAACATCACAAAATATTACTTCATAGTTTCCACTAGAGCTGTCATCAGTGCTAACACCAGGTGTAGAACACCTCAACAGCACCAACACCAGGCATAGAACACCTCAACAGCACCAACACCAGGTGTAGAACACCTCAACAGCACCAACACCAATAAAACATCACAACAGCACTAACAACACATCAAAACACCTCGTCAGTTCTAACATCAACAGAACATAACTACACCTCACCAGCATCAATAACACCAGCAGAATATCCCAACAATACAGTAGAACACCTCACCAGCGCCAACAACACTAGCAGAACACCTCAACTTACCTCAGCAGCTCCTCTTCCTGCGAGCTGCAGCACCAGTTGAGTCTTCTCGCTGCTCACCCTCGCAACCCAAGTAAACATTGAAATCCAGTTTTTGTACGATTTTAATGGATTTTTAGACACTTAGTTTTCTCGCTTTTCTATGAAGTAAAAATGTATGTAGTGTCTCTGTAAAAATGATGTTTAGATAAAGGCAAATATATTATTTGATGAGTTGTAGATGAAATTTGACACTTTCACATATGGAGAAGCAAAGTTTTGTATAGCTTTATAGTACGACCATGCATGTACCCTAAATATTTATCATATCAGATCTTTACTTATGTGTGTATGAGTGGAATAGATGCTGTCAGAGGGTTCAAGGGGATCAGGTTAAGGCTAGATTTAAGGATCAGCTGTAATTATAGACGGCTTACAAATTGTCCTACCATTTTTGTGTTGACCTCGCGGAAACTCATCCCGCGGCTGAGCCATGACACAAGACTCATCAAGACCGCCACTTGGTCCTTGTTATATTGTATCTATCTTCCAGGGCGCGGCTCAGTGACGCCCCCTGGGTGTATGTCTGTGATACGGCCGAGCTGACCGCGCCAAGGTGAAGTCATTCCAGTGCCATGCTCAGCAAACCTGGCCTCAAGATAAATTGTTTAAGTTTACCCTGCACCAGTTCAGAGAAAATGGGCACTACTCTCACATTTCGGCTAGGAAATTTCTTAATAGAGTGCGATTTGATGCTTTCTATATTGATTGAGTTGTGATGTGTCGGTCATCTAGCCTGGATATACTCCCACACCTTCCCTGTGTTACTAGTACTGGACCTGTAGGATAATAATGTTATTTTGATATTTGTGTGCGCACCTGATTCGCTAACTGCGTGTCTCCGCCCAGGAACCCAGGAGAAGCTATTTTTGTACTATTCTATGATAGCAGTTCCCGAGCGCAGACCTGCCAACCAACTCTCCTACAAACGTGACGGAGTGTGCGACGGCCCTAGTTGTAAAGCCAGTTTGTCAGCAGCATCCTTCTTAATTAAAACAGTACCATTGTAACCTGTCTTTCAATATTTACCTTTTAGCCTGGTCCCTCCCCCCTGCTCTCAAGCACAGTTGAGCCCCTCTTCTGCCTTGCTAGTAAAGTGATCACTACCAGCACAAGAGTGTCACCTCGCAGTATATTAACAAAACTGTTTCTATCGCTTTTCAGTTTTAAAAGACCGATGTTTACATTAGTATAAACCTTCTGCATCAAAATGCTTAGACAAAGTCACTCTGAACCTTCCACAGGAGCCAGGAGCTGAGTCTCGACCCCTGCAACCACAAACAGGTGAGCACAGAAGCCCTATACTTTCTCAAGACAGATGAGAACTCCAAATGAATAATAACAATTGAATTTTTACCATATGAATCTGAGTCACAACTTTGTAGAAAGACGAGAGCAGCTGATCAGAGGTGGATGTCGTGCCCAGGGTGTTGCAGACATTTCCTCTCTGGATCAGAACATCGAGTCTCTGGAAAAGACAGCTGTTACTTTGGGGTCCTTGGTTTTCTTGAGTTTGTCACCCAGTTCCTTCAGAAACTTATAAGTACACACTTGCTTCTCGTTCCTAGGGGTCTCGGATCCTACTGGGACGAACTTATGGCATGGTGCCAGATCTCTGTATTTGTTGACCTCCTGGATCTTCCTGACACAGCTTCACAATATCATAGGCAGGTGTTGTTTGTTGTAGCCACAGGCGTTAGTCCCCATACTATCTGCAGTTTATATTTACGTGACTCCAAATGTATTTGAGGCAGTGTGGCAGCTGGCCAATATGGCCTACAACTGTGCAGGTTCCGAAGTATGGTATGTTAGAGGCAGTGAGGTCGACGACATCCAGTGCCCAGCCCAGAATCTTGACCCTTACCTTTCTGCGTCGCAAGTAGGCCTGATAGCCGCCCAGGTAGGAGCCACACAACGCTGAAAGAACAATAGGCCGACCAGCGCTCTGCTACCCTTACGGGTTTAGCGTCTGAATTGATTATATTGTCATCCACCAGCGCTCAATGACCGTTACGGGTTTAGCGCTTAAATTGATTTTATTATTATTATTATTATTATTATTATTATTATTATTATTATTATTATTATAATGTTAGAGAATACGGAAGAGGTGAGGCTCGAACGTTGTGTATAATCAGCATAGGGGTGCTTATCTCACTGTATATACACCGAGAGATGTGTATCTATATATACGTTGAGAGTTTAATGTTTATTTTTTGTAATTAAAGTAACTTTGACTGGTGTTGTACACTTTCAACCTTAACGACCCTTATGTATACAGTCAGTAGGCTTTATAGCTAATAAATTAATCACCGTATCAGGTCACCAAAAAGGAAAAAAATACTGCTGCAGTCTTTCACTGTAGATAAGATGGTAGTGATACGTTAATTCGGTGGGGAGAAAAAAAAAGCCAGGCAGGCGTCTTGGTCATCAGGTGACTCAGTTCAGTAGTGTTGTGGTTGTGGTTACAGTGAGCAGTGACTCAGCGCACTCAGTGATTTGAGTGTCACCCTGCTGAACAAGGTCACCAGTGACCAAGGCCCGTGATGAACTCGCGGGTCTGAGCGTCAGAAAATACTGCTGAAGAAGGTTTATGGAAAGTTGACTGCTGAGGGATGCACAGTTAATTAAGTACTGATGTTTTCAAACTTATTATAATCGAAATTAGATTTACTACTCTGTGTGACCACAATGATTTATGATGTCAAGAAAAGACTTCCTTTTGTCATATTAACCCTGGAGAGTTAGAATAACCCAAGAAAATCCGCTAATGTGATTCTCCTCCCCAGTATGCGACCTTATATAACGTGTCTAACACCCAACTACCTACTTATTGCTGGGTGAACATGGGCAATAGATACAGAGTAAGGAAACACGACCAACGTTTCAGCTCGCCTCAGGATCAAACCCAGGTCCTTCAGTAGTGAACCTAAGGTACTATCGCTAAGTCACGAGTTTCACGAGTCAATTAACTCAGAACGAGCAGGGTTAAAATGCAGGGCAAGCCAGCCTAAGACTAAGTTTGAAACCCACATTTTCTGTAAGTTGCTTACAATAGCGTTTGTTACAAGTTCTGGTTATCCCAGGTTCTCTACACATATGCTGCTCTGTATGATAATCTATGTAACTGTATTTGTGTATACCTGAATAAACTTATGCAGGTTAAAAATCACGGACCTAACAACCAGGCAATGTCTACGTCTGACCATTGGATCTATCTATGCTCCAGTTCCCTGAACTGATCCTGATAACCTTCATGTAGTCGACGACTTAGTCAACCAATCAACGGGGCCAAAGTTAAGTGCACTGAGAGGTATATATCTCTTATTTAGATTTTAAACAGAATGTAAACTCCGAGAGTAACCCAGAAATAACCCCAGGAAGTCGATATGACTTATTTTCATTCTGACTATTTGATCCTCTTACCCAGGATACGACCACGATAGTTGCTTAACACCCAGGGACCTACTTACTGTTAAATGAACAGGGGTAACAGGTGTTAGGAAAAATGTCCAACGTTCCCGTTTGTGACGGGATTGAACCCGGATCCTTCGAACGTGAACCGAGGGAGATGCCACTGTATATTATGATGAGTTTATTACCATTTTTTAAATATTAATACAGTATTCTTGACAGGTGATACACAGGTTAAATATAGCATTAATGGATCTCGTGTAGTCGATTTTCTTTAAACCTGATAAACCAACTTACAGAAGTCAGGTTAGAGTAGTTATCCGTTAGTTTCACAACTTTTTTAATACTGCAGCTGTGCTTGAGTACAGAGACGTAAGTATGTCAAGACAGTGATCAGTAATAGTGGTCAGAGGTGGGACGATTTAATTAATGTAAATAATACAGTGTCCCATATAAATTACACTGGATTGTTTTTTGACTGAATTTATGTCTGCATAAACTACTCATTATGATTGTAACCAGATCATAAACTCCAATATAGTTCATTACCTATATAATAATAATAAAATCGACACCATGCCTAGCCCTTCTAGGGTAGGGTAGGTGCCTGAGCCCGAGCTTGCAGCTCACAAGACTGTCATTCCCATTAGCCCCCTTGGGGCGGGGATGGCAGACCAGAGAGGCCTAGCTTGTGGCTAGGCCTGGGGACAGTTGGTCCCAAAGATGAGGAGGTACTTGTGCCTCCTCCCATGGGAGACTTAGGTCTCAGACACTCCCTAAAGAGGGAGCCAAGGCCGGGCCACCACTTGGACAAGGCCCGGACCGGGAGCATACCGGCGAATCTTTAATAATAATAATAATAACATATATAAGGTATACAAACCTAGCTGACATTAATGACGTACTACTATACAGAAATCACCTTGTTAAGCAGAGCATTTCTGGCAAATTAGGTCAGTTTTGTCCCAGGATGCGACCCACACCAGTCGACTAACACCCAGGTACCCATTTTACTGATGGGTGAACAGGGACAGCAGGTGTCTTATAGAAACACTTCCTAAGGGAATTACCAATAGACCCCTGGCTGTTTTCAAGCAGGCACTGGACAAACACCTAAAGTCGATACCTGACCAGCCGGGCTGTGGCTCGTACGTTGGATTGCGTGCAGCCAGCAGTAACAGCCTGGTTGACCAGGCTCTGATTCACCAGGAGGCCTGGTCACAGACCGGGCCGAGGGGACGTTGACCTCCGGAACTCTCTCCAGGTAAACTCCAGGTAATGTTTCCCAGCCATATCGGGGGATCGAGCTACAGGTAACTTGCGTAATTACCATGACATTGGGGCCTAGTATCTGGGACTTATTATGTGCCTCTGTTATCTTTTGACTCCCCCTAAGCAGTCAGAGAGAACCCCAAATATTCATTCGAAAAATGTTTCCCCATATTAGTGAAACAACAGGCAGCCGAGAAGAAAGCTTTATCGGAAAAAAAAAACTCATTATTGGAGGTGGTTAGAGAGACTGGAAAATGGTGTAGCACGTAAAGCATACTCAGTCTGCAAAATCGAAATGCTACTTGGAGCTATGATGCTGATGAGCATAAGAGAAGCGATTACGATTATCAAATTAGTTATCCTAATAATCTACGATTGTCATATCAGTGTTTACCCGGAGAGGGTTTCCGGGGTCAACGCCCCCGCGGCCCGGTCTGAGACCAGGCCTCATGGTGGATCAGGGTCTGATCACCCAGGCTGTTACTGCTGGCCGCACCTAGAGAAATAGTAAATAACGGCTGTAATACTCAAGAAATACACCAGCGCCAAAACACACAACAGTACTGTTGTACCAGTTTTGTGTGTAAATTATATAAATTGGAATTAACACAACCCAATAACATTCTGAAAATTTCTCTAGGTAAAGTTGAAGGTTTCAATCCGATCAGCACATATCGTGAAGAAGAAGAGGCGTTCTCAAGTTATCTCGGGAAATTTTTTGAGACGAAACATGACAACGAAATCCAGCAACCATTATAGGAACCTCCTATCTATCCACACCTCATAAACCACCACCAAATATTTCCAATCGTGCCATGCACAGGTTACAAGTGGAAATACCCTAATAGAAATAAGTCACCATCTTTGACTTCGTTGGATGATCCTGGTTAAGTTTTGCATAATTTACTTCATGCAACCACTGTCAACGTTTTGATTTATGAATGAGGCCGAAATAAACATACACATCTTTCTGGATTGTGATTTGTCCCATTTATGATAATAATCTTCTGAAAGTACATGATACAATAATACAACTGAAGTTATTGACATGCTATGTAAAATGCTTGTTGCCACAAACGCCTCCTCCCACATGTCAGCAGCGAATCTGTACACAAATAACCCGCACATAGAAAAGAGGAGCTTACGACGACGTTTCGGTCCGACTTGGACTTTATAAATGGTCCAAGTTGGACTGAAACGTCGTCGTAAGCTCCTCTCTTCTATGTGCGGGTTATTTGTGTATCGTTCCAGTCACGGTATTGTGCCTTTTTGTTATTTAACGAATCTATAGTTCCCTTCAATCTTCTTCATTATTATTATTATTAATATAATCATGGGAAAGCGCTAAACCCGTAGGACTATACAGCGCATGTGGGGGGATGGAAGGTATTCAGGCTCAATTCAGGGAGCTAGAGCACAGATCCAATTCCCTAGATCAAGAGCCCCTCACCAACGTCAAAGAGCCTCCCTTGAGGGGACGAATGGTACAGAGGGATTAGGATTAG